GGTTCTGACTGTTGTCTGCTAACCTTCAGCGTGGATGACTCTCAAAGCTTCCAAAACTTAAGCAACTGGAAGAAAGAATTCATTTATTATGCAGACGTCAAGGAGCCTGAAAGTTTTCCGTTTGTGATATTGGGTAACAAAGTTGATATTGATGACAGGCAAGTGTCTACAGAAGAAGCCCAAGACTGGTGCAGGAATAATGGCAACCATCCCTATTTTGAAACCAGTGCAAAAGATGCCACGAATGTTGCAGCAGCCTTTGAAGAAGCAGTTAGAAGAGTGCTAGCCTCTGAAGACAGATCAGATCACTTTATTCAAACAGATACAGTAAACCTTCATCGGAAACCGAAACCCAGTTCATCTTGTTGTTGACTTTTTTTTTTTTTTGCCAAATTACTTTTGACTAGCTTGCTCTCTTAAAGGATGAGGAAGGTGTAGTAGATAAAATAACAAATGGGTTTCACTCTAATATTAAAATTGCAATATTCTGCTGCTTTCTAGGGGGAGCAAAAGAAAAAAAAAACGCATCCATGAGTGACCCGTTACTGAATTAGTGGCACTTTCTGTTGAGGAAGGTGTCAAGTAAAAACAATAATGTAAGAATGTAATTTGCTAACTTTATTCAAATGATAAATACATTGAATATAATTAAAACTTGAAAGTTCTAGAAGCACTACTTTGGAGAAACTGTTCTGGAATTCAGGCACAAAGATACTTTTATATGTGTATATTTTTATGAAATTGGCATTCCATTTTTGTTTCTCTATAAGTCAGTTTCTTAACAATGCTAGATATTAAACTTCAGTGTCACTACATTCCTTTTGCTGTGAGTGGTACTTCATCTCTGATGTGTTTATTATAAGTTAATATAAATTACCTCCAGATCTTCTCTAATTGCCTAATGTTACTATAATTTGTGTAGGAATTTAAGTAGGAAATAAATTTCCTACATATTTAATGTCCATTTTTTTCATTTACTATTGTAATGCTGTATTAATTTTTTCAGCAAGTTTAACACAGGATACTGATGAGTTAAGACATTTCTTTGCCTTAAGTCCCATTCTCGCATGTTCCTGTTCAATAAGGTAATAAAAATTGAGTCACTGAAGTATAACTATTTTTAGATATGAAAAAAATATGCTTTATTCAGTCAGCTTTAACTGCACTTGAAGGGATCCACATCATGACATACTTGTAAGAGAACGTTTAGTATACAGCCTTAAAGTCCCAAACCTCTTTTTCCTTGTTCACCTGAGCTATGAATGTGTTTACCAGTAATCTCTTCACTGTGAAACTAAGGATTGGCAATATGTAGAGAACTCAGGAAGCTCTTGATTTACAGTAGGTTGCGACAGCTTTCAGCCCTAATACAAGTAAATACCTGCACCTAGTGATTAAGCTGAATTTGATCCTTACTTACTTTGTGATTTTAGGATATGGACTTACACATTTAAGACAATGTCTTTTATATTACTGTACTCATTACATGATTAAGGGACAGTCTTTCTGCAGTAATGCAGGTGAAACAACAGGTGGCATATTTGAGGCTCTCTGCAGTTAAATGGTACAATACTTGTACAAGAAGTTGAAAGTTGGTGCTTGGCCTATCTACTGTCCTACTATAGCAAACTTGATCGCACACTTGCTTCAATGTGTAATCTGACAACAGGCATGCACGTACACCTGTTGTGGACTTCAAAAGGAAGTCTGAGGCCTACAGGACAGGCCATATTATTTGCTAATCTACAGACTGCTTTCTGTACAGCAGTTTCCATGTTTCAATAGAAAAGACTTTCTTGCGAGTACATTAACAGCTAAAGTTTTCTCATAACATATCTGTTCACTCTGTACCAGGTGTAATGATTCAGAAGTAAAGCTTGCAAAACAAATCATTCTTGTCTCTCTCAGTACACTTTCCTGAATGTATTGTATTCTTGCTTGAACCTGTCCAGGACACCTTTATGCTATAGTGCTGCTGCTTCAAAGTGATGTCTTTCTACCTTCTGTACGTTCTAAGCCTAACAGTTCCTTCTTGCAGTCCTGCATATGCAACAACAGAACTGTTTTAAGCTTCAGTGACCTAACAGCTGAATATAGATTGAGCTGCTACTTCTGCTATGTTTCATTTCTAGCCAGTGAGTGAAAAGACCTGTGAAGAAAATCTTAGCTAAATTCCTCTTAACAGACCAAAAAGCTTTAAAAACAAAGATTGCTTGCGTTGAGGGCTACTAAGTTAGTGACATTAAATTGTTGTAAAACACTACTGCCTTACTGTTTAAAGCTTCCTTTAATGTTCATTTTAGCAAAGGTAAGGTTGAAACAAAACAGGAGGTGAAGTTACCATGACTAAGGATGCTAAAAGAAATAAAGAGGAGAACCATTGTGGTCTTTCTTGTCCTTAAAAGTCCATTTGTGTTTTTCCATTGTGTATTTTCTCATCTGTGTTATTTCCATGTAACACTATGGTTACCAAGCCTCCCTCTTAGAAGTAGGTTAAATAAAACTTAATAGTACAGAAGTGTATTACTTGTGCTCTGGGAGCTGTGGTGCCATGACTGTACACTAGTCAAAAAAAGTAGCTAGTGAAGATAAAGGGTGTTTATATGCTATAACAAATAAGGATGTATAGGAATTATGTTCAGGTCAGGATTTAAGTCTGAGAGGGAGACTATCAAATACCTGAAAGAAGCAAAAGTCCTATGAAAAGCAAATGACAGGTAGCATAACAAAACAAAAATCTTCATAATGTTTAGTAACAAACAGGCATTTCTGTACTTTCTTAAAACTTGCCATCTGTCATTCCATAGGGAGATAAGGTAGGCACTTGTGGCTTATGTTTCAATTGACTGATTTATTTCAAGTACTAATGGACCTCAAATATTAGGGAGTCCTCAACTATCTAGAGTATGTAGAGTGTGATACAGATGTAGTTCTAGATGCCCTTTAAATGGTACAGCTGTGCATATTAGGACAGACAGCAAAACAGGATGGGGCAGAAAAAATAGAGGACACAGCAAACAGCTCATGTTAAAAGTGCAAAGTGGCCTCTCTCCTGCCTTGACCACTGGCCTTTGTATTGCTGGAAATGTTGATTGTCTGATGCATGTTAGACCTGCATCTTTCAGGCCTAGAGCTGATAGGTGACTACAGCTGATCACAAGGTAGTTTTCACCTGTCACTCCAGACAGCAGTCTTTCAGCTTATTGTAAAAAGTCACAAACTAAAGCATAACAGGTAGATAGCCAAATTTTTTTCCAAATTCTGTCATAAGACATTGTTCCTCACTGTCATAATGTAGTGAGTTAGCATGTAATTCTCCATTGCCTGTGTCCAGTAGCAGTCTGTTTTCATAAAGCCTAGATAGACCTATGGGACATGATTTCCCACTTACAACTCCTATATTCAGAAGAAGAGGGGAAAGAGATGGGGGAAAACATAAGAACAAGTACCATTTGGCTAACCACCTTCAGAGATCAGACAAGAGAAAAAAATGCTTTCATTCTCTAGATCTTCCTACTGTGTGCTGGCAGAAAAGAATACAATTATCAAAACCCTAGAGTTTCTAAAAGTGGAAACAGCCCTCATTTTTTGTCTTTGCCAAAACTTTTCATACTGCCACGTGTATGATTATTTAACGTATTCAGTGAATCTTAGCATTTTTCCAACCATAGTGCTATAAGGGTTCCAATGTAGTAACTCCTCATATGAATGTTTTACCTCAAGTGTGTTTCTGTTGCTTTCATGTATAAAGTAAAACAATCCAAAAACTGTAGGTGATTTACATACAACTGCATGACATCATCAAAATGCTGAACAATGCAGTTTTTATTAATAACTACTGCAAAGACAAGTATTCCCATCTAAATGTGCCACCCTACCAATAAAGGTAGCCTTACTGTGATCATCTAGTTTCCTTCTAAATCATTTCAAGTATACTCAACAGGCATCCATACTGCATCATTCCACAGTTTATTTAAGGTAAATATTGCAGCCTTTATAATTGTGGCTTTTTTCTCATGGAATATTTTACAGTGACAGTTTAGCAGTAAGTGTAAATTACAAAGAAATAGTGACTGTCAATACATTTAGAGCACATACACATGTGGTCCCTTTAATTATACAAAATGTACTTCCTAGAACAGCAAAATGTACTTCCTAGAACAGCATGTCACTTCCTCTGGAAATTACTTTTCAGATTTTAAAAATTTTTCCAAGAAGATAGCTTATACAGCTTGGCTGCAAAAGGAAACAAACTACTTAAGGATTGTGAAACCAACCAAAATACTAGGCACATGCATGCCAAATGACCCATTTAAAAAGTATTTTGGAATGATAATAAGCTTTGCAAAAGGGTCCCTAACCACATTTTACAATGGAATAGTAGCCAGCCAGGCCAAATAATACCTTTCTGAGACCTCAACAGTTTTGTGGTTCAAAGTTCCAAGTCTAAATATATTTTCACAAAATTTCAGCAGTTGCAGACATAATGGAAAAAAGTGGGTTTACACATGCCAATTTAGTTTAGGTTTTTTTCCATGTGTTAGAATTAAATTAGAATTAATTAAATTAGAATTAAAATCAGGATAGACACAGCTGTTCTGGTCTACTTTATTAATTCACTTTGTTAATGCAACACTGCAGGTAAACATGAATTGCACTAAACATCTGGTGAATGTGCAGTTTTAAGCTTTAAGTTTTTTTCTCAAAACTTCCTGAAACACTGAAGACAAAGCTTTGCTGATATATCCTCATTTCTTTTTATTTAGCACTTCATAATACATACATTGCACATTACAATATAAATATAGATCTGGTTTAATACCACAAAGAGTATAATTAAGTCTGGTTATTCTGCAGAGCAAGTTCTCTATTGAAGAGCTGTAAGTAGAAAGGTTTGTAACACAACCACTTAGGCCAAGCAGTCAAGAATTCCCTTTTGATCACATTAAATCACATGCCTGAAGATGTCTTTTGAGTTAAGGTCCAGTTTCCTCCCACCCTGTAGAAGAGGCTTACATTTTGCATAGGTGTTGATACCCACATCTCAGTTTGTATCTGTTCAGCCCCTGACATTTTCAAACTTGGTTTTCATAACACATGAGAAGAAACTTACTAAGATAGGCATTTTAACCAGAAAAGCTTGGCTGTTCTTACCTGTACCAGAAAAAACAAGCCCAAAAAATGTCCTTTAGTATCCAATTTGTTGATCTTAACAAAGATGTGTATCAAACATAAAGAGAAATAGCCATAAGAACTACAGTACAAATAATCAGGAAAGTTGGAAAGAGCGCTCACTCGGGGAAGTTATTTATTCAGCTTAAAAGGTGTTTCTTCCCAAGGAACTGTACCTTCCTTTCAAAAGCACTGGATCGAATGGGAGAATTGAGTTCATAAAATGGATTCATTGCAAACTGAGGAAAGAAGAAAAACTCAATAAGCACAATGTCCAGTACTGGAAAATATCACTTTAGATGACAACTACTATTACTTTTCAGCCTATTTAGTGCCACATAAGAGCACTGAGGTCCTCAACAGTCACCTGCTTTCCAGGGCACTGCATTCTCCTCATCTATATGCACAGCCATCCCTCAGTACCAGCTCCTCAGAACAAACCCATCATGATACTGGTGGACATTTCCATAATGGAAATTAGCATCACTTGAGTCCTTGCAGAAGACTGAGATGACCATCTCCCAGGCAGTACTTGCAATTGCCCTGTCTAGTGGAAGTATCACCAGGATGCGAGAAAATGGGCTTCCTGTACTGAGAGTGAAACATCTTGAGTGGGCTACTGCAGAACAGTCCTTTGCTTTCATTATCACCATTAATGACACAATACTGCCTCAAATCACTGACTAAAATGAAAATAAATTCTGAACCACCACTGTTTATAATAATTTATAAAAATCTATTCTGTTAATGGAAAATACAGCCTCTACATCACACAGTATCAATGAATATGGACAGTGTGGGGTGCTTCTCCTTTTACACAGGCCCCCACGAGAAAACTCACACCAGCATGCCTGAGCACATAAAACAGAACACACTGGAAAGTACTGCAGTGAGACTGTAAGAAGAAGGTTCTTACCTTTATATACAAGTCATACACATCATTAAAGAAGTTCTTAATTCCGTCTTCTTGCCTTACATCATGAAGCATTATAAATCTCATATGTAAAGCAATTAAGGAAAATTTAACTTTTATGAAAAAGAGAGACATTTAACATATCCTGAGATAAGCATTTACATCTAATTCTACATATACTTAAAATGCTTAGCTGTACATGAAATAGCAGTGACTACAGCAGGAAGCATTAAAATAAGAACCTGGAGCAGTGAATTTAGAAAGCATTACCTCTTTATTTTAGAATTCCCCTATCTGAAAAGAAAAATAATCACCTCTCTATTCAAGGTTATTATTTTTAAAGCTAGACAATTCTGAATGTAGATGATATTCTCAGTACCTTTGTCATCTACCCCTGAAGTTTAAACGACATTCAATGTTGCTTCCTATGTATAACAAAAGCATCACAGTAAACACTTCTAGGACTATCTATGTATAAGATTAAGCCTTGACAGCACATTTTCAAGAGAATCATAGAAGGTTGCTCACACCTTCTTAAGTTACTCCTCCCTCATTCCTTTTTCCTGTACTCCATTTGAGCTCCACACTTCAGTAGGCTATTCCAGATCCTCCCAAAAGAAAAAAAATCCATCTTTCCAGTTGGTCCTATTTTTCAACAGCTGTGCCTACCAACATACTTCATGCTGAAGTTGGTGGCTCTCTAGCAATAACAGTCGTGAATAGCCAGAGAAATCTGTTCCACACTAATTTAATCTGACTCGTCGCTTTCTGGCAAAAGGCTTTTCCTACCTAATATAAGGAAAGTGAAGAGGGAAGGATATGTCCAGCTGTGACAAAAGCAGAAACAAACCATTCATTAAACTTGTCCACAGTCTTCAGATACATATTGTTAGAAAGCCACATGTTCTCATCTACTAGGTCAAGAGCTGCATGGGCAATGAACTGGTTGAGATGGCGATGATCATCCTAATGAATTTCCAGGAGATAGAGGGTTAGTAATTCAGTGAAATACAAAAACTAATTTGCCCAAGCTGCTAAACAACTAGTGCTCAAGTTATGTAAAGTTATATATACACCCTTCTTTTCTGCCACATACCTGCCATCCTGTAATAAAACAAAACTAGTATATTTTGTCATGATACTTGATTTCAAGGGAGAAACAGGGTCATAATAAAAAAGCCTGCAAAAAACAGTCTTGAGAGACACAAAACTAATAAAGCCTGTGTTTATAGCTCAAGAATTAATTCAATTGTAAATTATTTTGTTTATCAGTGGGTAATCTCCCACTGCAAACTTATTCCAAAACAGAGGCCCTGATGAAAATACTTTCCTCTGTTTTCCAATCACCTGTTTTACTGAAATTTACAGAAATTTAGCAGAAATTGAACAATAGGTTACACTGCCTAAAAGTTGGGGAAAAGATATACCAGTAACATTAACACTAGGAGATTCTGGTTTTTTTTCAGGTTATTTGCCTAGAAACATACAAATTTTTATTGGTTTGGAGTGTTTTCTTTTTCCTAGTGCAGAAAAACATCCTGCAACTGGTATTAAATGGATGCTTGCAGATGTAAATTGCACCTCTTCTAATAACAAATACAAATGCCCATAGCAGGATTACACTGTTTGGCCGTAACATTACAAGAGTTGTGTGGGGCAAGGGCCATTGACTTTGTATACTAACTAGAACACTGGAGGGCAGTTGCCAAGAAGAAACATGGGACTAAACCACTGAGCTTTCTATGAGACTGGAAACATGAGTAGTCTTGCTCTCTTTCTCAAAATACAGGGTTGCTATTTATGCCACTCTCACAACTCTCAGTGCATTATGTTTTTCCCCCAAATCAAGTTTGGCTCATGGCATTAAAAGTTTTACAAGTTCCATTACACCACACTGAGGACGAGATTAAGTAGTGAAGCTTAAGGGGCAAAAGCTTATGCTGATTTACTATGTACATGATGCAAATAATGTCAGCTATTTGCAGCTAACATGCAGCCATGCATCTGCACTGAATTCACTCTTGAAGGGCATGTCTCAGAAACAGAAGCAATAGTTGTCAAAACATATAAATATCTAGTTCTCCTTCAGTGCACAGTAAGTTTAGATTCTGTCTTGGCAGAAAATTTGGTATTTCAACCTTAGTCAGACAAGAAGCTTAACCAAGCTAAGCTAATTCCATTAGCACAATGTAGAAAATATCTGACACAGCCTCACACTAAGCCCAGTCTGACTAGTCTTACTAATGATTTTTTTCTGAGACACTCACAGATCCACACACTTTTATTCTAAAGTCTGCTTTCTCTTTTGATGTAATAGCACAATGGATAGATTTATTCAGTAAGTAGTGTTTCTACTGGAAAAAGAATAAATTAAAATTTCTCTTAAAATTCTTACATCTTAAAAGTAAGAAAGTCTTAAAAATCTCCATTCTCAAACCCATAAGTTTAAAACCTTTTTTACTTAACAGCAAGCATGAATGCTTTTAAAAAATAAGATTTCTTTATAGCGTAAAAAATAAAGACCTGACTAGAGCTTTCAAAGTTATGTTCCTTATTTAGCCTTATTACTGCATACAGATCCTTTAAAATAGAGCAACAGTAAAAAGCAACACACCATGAACAGTTATTATAAAAGCTCTACACACTATGAGCCATATATTCTTCACCATACAGCAACAAAACTTTAAGTAAACCGTGTTTTAGGAAGAACTGGTATGATGTGGCAAAGAATTAGTCAAGAGACTCAAGAACTCCAGAGTTCTACTCACAACGTTTCTGTTAAAAAGAAAGCACAGTGGATGCTCATAACACTTTTAACAACATGCTGGTTATACTTCTAATACACTGTAAAATTATCAAAGAAAATGCACCATAATTACATCACAGGAGTATCACTGGAGAAAAAAAAACACAACACACCTTGGACTCTACTTTTCCAGGAGGCAGAAATTCCATTTCAAATATGGGATTATCATGATGACCAACTATCACGAAATAGAAACTTCCAGACATGCTTCAGTATGTTCCTTATTAAAAAAAATAAAAGGCACACTTTACCAACAAGCCTATATACAAACCCTTAATCCATGTGAAAGCACTCCTAAACATCAGCCAGCATGTTTCCTACTTATATTTACCATAAGCTAAAGAGAGATAAATGCTTTCTTAGGTAAGCATATTTATACTCTAATGGGAGGAAACTTCCATGGAAATGAGAACACCTCCCGGAAGTGAACCTAGTTACTATTACCTAAACATACCTACGCTACAACTGACTGATGACTTAAGTTATTCACTGACAACCATCGCAGTGACCTGCAGAGCAACGACCCCGTGACATAACGCGGTGTACTCGTCTCTGAGGAATCCCCTCATCTGCTTCTCCAAGAGGGCCCTACCGACGAGCACTACGACAGGGCGGGGCGGCAGACAGCGGGCACCGTGCTCCCTCGCGCACCGCAGGTGTGGGACAGTCCCAGAAAGCCCTACAGCTCCGTTCCCGGGAACTTCAGCTACCCTGGGGGAGGGGGGCCGGGAACCCCTCCCTGCCCG